AGAGGAGGAGAAGGAGGAGGGGAAGCACAGCAAGGAGGCGAAGGACGAGGAGGAGGACAGCAAGGAGGAAGACGACAAGGAAGACGACAAGGAAGACGACGATGAAGAGGGGGAGGAAGAGGAGGAGGAGGAGGAGGAGGAGGAGGAGGAGGAAGACGACGATGAAGAGGAGGAGGAGGAGGAGGAGGAGGAGGAGGAGACCTGTCGCACTCTTCGCTCGAGCTGGGATAGGACGGGGATCCTGGGAATCGCGTCCATGTGGCTCTGCCTTTGCTCGATGGTGCTTTGAGTCAACCCATCCGGCAGGCTCAGCGCAGGGTCAGACCCTGAATTGAAGTCAGCCTACTGCCTTGTCTAAAGGCGGGAGCAGGAGCAGGAGCAGGAGCAGGAGCAGGAGCAGGAGAGGAACGAGCAGGAGCAGGAGAGGAAGGAGGAGGAGGATAGGGAGAAAGGGATGAAGAAGAGCGGAGGAGGTGCATGCGACGAATAGGACAGGAGCAGGACACCTGAGATATCCAAATGGAGCGAGTGATAGTCGACATCGACTGTTGTCCCAAACATGTCTGGGGACAATCTTGTCATTCCCTTCCCTCCTCCCCTTCCCTCCTCCCCCTCCGTCATCACCTTTCACGCCGTACTTCTGCACGAGGATCTCGACGTCGCTCTTGGAGCACGCGACCTGCCGATAGAAAATCAGCTTGACACTCCTTGACCTCCCCTCTATCCTCGTATCCTCTCCTCTCCTCTCGTATCTTCTCCTCTCCCCAATCCTCTCCTCTCCTCTCCTCTCCTCTCCTCTCCTCTCCTCTCCTCTATCACCTGAAATTTGTCTGGCAATCCTCGGAGGAATTGGCCTTTCGTCACTCGCCTGCACTCATAAAATTAGTGGAGGAAGCAGGCAGCAGGTAACATGGTAGGAGGATGAGATGCCGGAAAGATCGTGAGATAAAGGAGGAAAGGATTCAAGATCGAGGAGCGAGACGATAGGGAGCAAGGAGCATAACCATCCATTCGATCAAGGACGAGGAAGGAGAAAGTCAAGGAGAAGAGGAAAGTAGAGGAGGAGGAGGAGGAGGGAGGGAGGGAGGGGGGAGGGGGGCGGGGGTGGGGGTCGGGGTACACGTACGTA